CTGGTGAATTATAGTAGTCTCTTATCTTATCTCTTAGCTGGGCAAAAATTCAAAGCAGTGGCTTCTCATACATGATCAGGAACTTGGACATTTATTGCTTGGACACTATTGCCAGTCTGCTGCTGAAGTCCGTTTCCCCACAAATACTGTTTGCTACTGCGCTGTTTTCCCCGATTGGGCTTAAAGTTTACTATATATAAGTGTTAGGTTATGTTGGGGTTTGGGTCGTAGAGGAAACAAAAAGCCAACTGACGTTATGAACAACAGAAAATTCCTCTGCAATTTTGTGGATCGTTGCTTGAGTCTTTTAAGTAAGCGAAAGTGTCCAGTATTTGCTCTGCTCCTAAAACGTGTAGAATTTCCCTCTATTTTATACGGTTATAAATTGATTATCTTTAAGTTTCGGATGGTTGGAGCAAAATAAGCGATTGGTAATTTGACTTCAACAAACTAATCAAAAACAATAATGATTTTTTAGCCCTAGTAAGGACTATAAGTTGGGTTGAAACAACGTTATGTAAAAAGAAAATTAAGCACAACATTGTGAATATATATAAAAACTACTAATAAATGTAGTACATGGCTTTGTTGATTTAACTAATATTACATAAGTATTTCTGTACTACTGAATAATACCCAGAAAGTGACAGCTTTTCTTACAGTGTCAAGCAGTCCACCGAAATAAACATCACAGCTAAATTAGATTTTCCAGACTTTCTCGTTTATTGTATTCGTTTCAATACTATTGCTCATATTGTTGTCCTTAATGTCACGACTTACAGTTGTCATACTGATCATACCAAAATGACAAAACATAAGAATTTTAAGGTATGCTAACTTGCCAAAACTGCCAGTCAAATGATATTAACACGATAAATTCTTACTCAAACTACACCAGAAACAGAGTCAACTTAGCTAGCAACTGTTAGCTAGTTGAGCTGACAGACTAGCTCCAAAGCTTTCAAACTGTATCACAATGAACTATGTTTCAATTAGGTAAATCATTTGACAACTTGGCTGCCCAGCAGCCATATTTTTTTATAACACAACAGAGAGACTGGCTTCCCATTGTCAACGCGTCTGGACAGTATCACCTGTCTGCTTGGTCAAGTTTACCGAAACCTGGTACACAACATTAGCCAGCCGTTAGCTGACTTAGCTAAGGTTAGCCAACTGGTTAGCCACATTTCCAAGTGTAAAAATGATGCTAGGAAACTTATCTAGAAGGTCGCATGTATACTGAAAGAGACAGCGATTCCTTACCCTTTATAATAAGCTTTCACCCGGACTTGGTGGGAATTCTCGCCGGGGTGGGACATGGTGCTGTCCCGCAACGTCGGCATCATAAGCTCAGCCGCGGACAGAGCGACTCACCGATACCTTCCTTCCTTCTTTGGCCCTGTACTTATCACCACGCCCCAAAAACACTATGTTTCTATGGTCTGTCGACAAACCGCCTATATACCCAGGTAAAATATGCAAGAAATCGAGAATTTTCCCTTTCTTAGACGAACAACAATAACCTGTAAAGTAAAGAAAAACTTGCGGGGTCCGCCAAACAACTCCCTACTGCAAAGGCCTAACGACGGACGAGTCCACTGTCGGAATGCTCGGGGTGGCTCGTAACTTGGTATCAAATGAACATGCTTACTGACGAGAAACTAATATTACATCAAAACATATAAATACAGAGTTTCATAATGGTTTCCGATATACATTTTATAATAAACCGCGACAATCATCTTTAAAGTCAAATACATCACTTGGCAGCATTCAGACTGTACCAAGTTAAGCTTTTAGTGTAGGTAAGTGCTGCATTCGTGTTCAAACATCGAAGCTCGGAAATAGAAAAAACCCTCAAGATGTTATGCGCATTCAAGTGCTGTGGTTCGGAAATAATGACAAAAGTATGGGCTTTTTAAAAATACAATTTTAGAAAAGGGCTACTGTGCGCTGCTGTGTTAAAATGATGGTGGTGGGCTTTGTTCACATAGACTAAAATCTAATATAACAAGGGCTTTAAATATCTGCATTATTCTAATGTGTGTTTTAATTCAACCATATATATATATA